CTGCACATTTAATATTGACTTCGTGACACAAAATGTTACAGGTATTTAATTCAAGAGAATTTGCTACTGAAATTTGATTGGCTATCACAACCTGCTCATAAATTGGCACATGCCCATAAATTGGCTCGTTACGTTACACGGTCGCATTTCATACGCATCTATCCATTCACATGCAAAATGGTTTACCATCCGTTGAAATAGATCTATCGACAGGGAGGCAACCTCCGTGTCGACGGCAACTCATGCCCAACTCTGTGGACTCCATCCTCCAACTCTCCGCGAAATCTGCCAGTCCGCGCAGTGCTCAACGCTGACCGAGCCTTTCGTAGAATAAGCGGTCAACCAGTACACCGCGTCACGGGGCCCAACTCGGCGCAGCAGGTTCATTTTGTACAACGAGCTTTGTTACATTTTAAAGCGATTGCTGCGCCACGTCACGGCGATAGCCAGCGCGATCATGGCGCTACCGAAACCTTGAACAGGGACACCATTTCGTCCGCTTCATGCAATATTGCCAGAACAAGGCCATCGACACGAGATGTTGGGTGATGGACTCACCACCAGTCATGCCAGGATGTTGGGCTGGTTGCGGTGTCCGCAGTGTAGATTACGCCAGTGCCGACGTCATGGTCTCGCCAGCCGACTTGTGCCTTGGTGGCCGCCGCATGAGATTTCATCAAATGGAGCTTCTGTTCGAGCAAATAGCGCATGAAAGGCTTCAATCATGGACATTCCCGGTGGCCACTGATAGCGATTCGTTTGGTATTTGCGTGTTTGGCAGGAGCGGAAGGCTGTGCGAGGATACTGGAAGCACGTGGTCAGCGAAGTTACTGGAAGCTCATGGTCAAGTTGCCTTGTGTGCACTACCCGTCACCCCGAAACCCCAAAGGTCAACAGCTTCAGCTCGGCCATGGAGCGATAGAACTTTTCCACCAAGTCGGCCGCTTCGTCCATATCCAGTTGGACCATCTAGCTGCTGAGCAAGCCGACAGAGCCAACGAGCACAATGCCACATTTTCTTGTGCTTCGACAAGGCCGCTTCCATGTCGCATTGCACAACGGTCGTACGGGTGGAAAAAAGGGGTTTGCGCTTTACTCGGGCACTTACCAAGCCCATCGTCGTTCCATGACCAGTGAAAACTCATCATGATGTCAGATTGTTTAGGAAGCGGGGGAAGTCAACAACACCTCCGAACATTCTTTCGTCTTGTACGTGTGCAATGGGCGCCGCCGTTTTCCAAGACGATTGCCACAGCCTCACAACAAACCGATCCGCGATGTGGCTCGGTTACCCTCGACCAGCGGGGAGCCGTGGACCGGATGCAATTCGCAACGTGATGCCTGATGGCTGTCGAGCGGAAGGTAGACCCACGAAGTTGACAGAACTCACAACGACCGACGTGGCAGTGCTCACACATGTAAAAGATCCACAAAGATTGTATACAGATTCGATTGCGTCGCGCACTCCTAATAGAACGCAATCCCCTGTTCCCATCCGCAGGACGCAGCCTGGGCGATCGTCATGCAATACGATTTGGACTTGGTCTTGTCGCAGCACAAGTAAAACTTGGCCCCCTTCGTCTTGGCGTTGTGGGCGCTCTGGTGGAAGTGCTGGCGGTTGGCGCTGTCGCAGTCGCCGACGGTTTTCGGTTTGTTCATGGTGGCGTCGCACCAGCAGTTGGATTTCTTGGGCGATGCGAGGGGGCATGCCTCGACAGGGGCCACAACGAGAGTCGTAAGCGCAAGTGCAAGCAAGATCCAGGCGCGCATGGTTTGAGATGTGGCGAGAAGATTTCAGAATGAAGTGGTCGCGGCCGGCGGGCGACCTTTGACATGCTGTGCGGCGATTACACCTCAGTGGACTCTCCACTTTGCGGCCGCATGAACAGCACATTGTTAGCTACTACTAGTAGCTGGGTGCAGCGAACGACGGAACTTGTACATAGTAGTACTAGACCGACTTCGTGAACATCTAAATTGTAGACATATCCTTTAAAATTTATCTTGATGGATGTCGGCCAATCCATGATGACGCCCAAGCCACGTGCGAAGGCATGCCCTGTGAAGGCGCTTGGTTACAAATGCATTGCCACAACATGCTGGCATGCATGCGAGAGTGATATCTTCGAGGTCGAGCAGTACTTTGGTCGTGTATGTTTCGTCGTGGGCTTTGAACGCAATCAAAATCTCGGAATTTTGACCGATGCCAGATCAACTTGGACCGTTCATAATAAATTCAATTTCCAGTTACACCATTTACTCTATACAAATCTCAAGATAATTCTATAGTGTCGTTGTCGGTACTGAAAACGTGCCACCACACAATAGTTCGTTTGCAAGGGCTGTACATTTTCGTAAAAATAGTCACAAAAATCGGAGCTCCAGCCACCTCGATCCGCTCCAGCTCAGGCAGCACATCCCGGTGGAGGCTGCACCACAAAGCACCCCACGCATTTTGTACCACGAGCATGATCTCGCTATGCCTTGTCGCTACGGGAAAAAGGGCTGTGCGACCGAGTCGGCAAAATGTTCGTCAATAATACTCGAATTTTATCCTTCCACATGAAACTATGGAATGACGATGTGCAGCGATTGTGCAACGTTCACTCGCCTTCGCTGCCGCGTCGTTGTGCGCTGTGGCTAAGAAGCGGTCTGGAAATCGAGCACGTGTCGACTTGAAACTGGGAGCTGCTGTGGTGTCAACATTCCAAACCCACGCAGGCGTGTTTGTCCAGGCAGAGTCGCTGAAGCAACAGGGAGTGAGAGATGGTAGGGGGCGTCGTGTACACTACAACAAAACGAACGGTACCTCGGAAGTGAATTTCTCCGAATTCCTGCTGCTCTGGAGGGCGTTCGACACGCAGCTCGCGATCGTCGTCGATTGTGATGGCGTTCAGTTGGGACTCAGCGGGCGAGGTGGAGGCCAGTGAAGTAGCCGATTGTCTGGACCGAGTTCGAGCCCGAGATTCACGACTGCCGTGATGTAAACGGCCACTACTTTCGAGAAAGAGTGGAGTGCACGCTAGATGCAGCTACGTATGGCCAAACACATCCCACGGCATCGAGAGGTCGAAATATTGTTTTTCAAATACCTCCTTGCGCTATGATTTCGGATCGAGCACTTGGGCAACCGGGTGCATTGAGCCGTCCGTTGCTGCATGCGGCACTATATATCTACGTCGGAAATACCAAGCATTTCCACAACTCGTTCGAGAACGGCCTTCGACGACAGCGTGCAAGGAGGCCGCCGCCCCCGACTCGTTAGTCCTCGTATTTGTCCTGGAATTTGTCTCCTTTAAAAAACTGCAACAAAATCGTATTGCCCAATCATCATTTCGAAAAAGTTGGAGCTAGTGGTGAGAAATAAATGCCTGCAGCGAAAACCTGGTCAAGTCGAGCTCGAGTTGGCGCACCAAGAACGGGGTATGCATGCCACATATAGCTCTCGCCCGTGATGTACACGTCGCGAGTCTTGTACTGCGGGTACAGCGCGAGAACTTTCTTGAGCAACTCCTCACACGATCGCGTACCGTCCCGGCGTCGCAGTGGTCCAACAAGTACAATTCGGATGGTTGAACCCAACGCGGGTCATCGAGAAAGACCGCGCTCGACCTGCGGCTACACGCATACGGGTTGCTCACATGCCGCTGTGGACACGACATGAACACAGCTCGGTAAAGAAACCACCGAGTGTCGAGCAGTCGGGACTACCCTTTGAGGTACAGCTCCATCAGATCGGTCGACCGACTCGGCTCCGAACAATCAAAGTACATGGACTGTTCAGACTTGCGC